AGCTTGGGTGGTGTTTTACTTGCAGTCACTGGTGTTGAAGCATTGTATGCTGATTTAGGACATTTCTCAAGAAAATCAATACAACTATCATTTCCAATTTTCGTTTATCTACCATTAATACTGGCTTATTCAGGTCAAGCTGGAAGATTAATATTAGAACCTGGGCTTATCAATGGTCCTTTGTTTTGGTTGACTATACCACAAAATCCAATAATATACTGGATCGTATTTGTACTGGCAACTTTGGCAACTATTATCGCATCTCAAGCAATGATTACTGCTACCTTTTCTTTAATTCATCAAGCAATGCAATTGGATTGTTTTCCAAGAGTTAAGGTATGGATTGAATTTATTTATTTATTTATATTTATTTATTTATATTAGTTAATTATGTTAATTTTATTTTCTGAATTTTTCTATAGGTTATTCATACATCAAAAACTATTCGCGGACAAATTTATATTCCAGAGGTGAATGAATATATAATATGACATGACTTCTATAATTTCTATAATTTCTATAATTCATATAAAAATTTATATAAATCTTTTTTTTCCAGATAAATTATATTTTGATGGTTGCAACGGTTTTGATTTGTATTGCATTTCAAAAATCAGCAAATCTTACAAATGCATACGGAGTCGCAGTAATTACAGTTATATTTATATCAACAATATTGATTTCCATTGTGATTCGTGTAGTCTGGAATTTACCATTAATTGTCAGTATAATATTCTTATTAACATTTGGTCTAATTGATGTTTCATTTATGGGTGCCACATTTCTCAAGGTACAAGATGGTGGATGGTTTACATTGACTTTTGGATTTGTATTATTTATGGTGATGCATATTTGGAGATGGGGCACAAATCTTCAATTGACATATGTGATGAAAAATAAAGCTAGTCTTGAAAATATATTTATGACAGAAGATGATTATGAACGTGAAGAAGGGAAGAAGAGTGATGGTGGTGATGGTAGTGCTGTGGATGAAGATATCGCTATAGATTCTTCTACATCATCTGTAAGAAAAAGAAAAAATAATAATTTATTAAGACTTAAAACTAATCAATATCCAGTTATAAGATTACCTGGCATCGGTTTATTTTATAATGAAGTCACAAGTGGAATCCCGATCACCTTTAATCATTTTATAAATCATCTACCTTCTTTACCGGAAATTATAATATTTATAACGGTTAGACCTTTGGCAATACCATATGTTGGTGAGAAAGATAGATTGGTGGTGCGAAGGATTCGTAAACATAAAGGATTCTACAAAATTATTGCAAGATATGGTTATATGGAAGCAATTTCTCAAGACAAAGAATTTATAAATAAAATTGCTGATATAATACGAAAGAATGATATTTATAATAATGATGATAGTGATAACGAGACTGAAGTTAATGCTAATTATGATGTTGTAACTTATATTGTTTCTACACAAACATTTGATCCAAAACCGAATTCTAATTGGTTCAGAAAAGCTTTATTAGAATGTTACGTGTTTCTAATAAATAATTCGAGACAATTATATGGTAATTGGAATATACCAATAGAGGATGTTATTGATGTTGGCATGAAAATCGCTGTTTAAAAAAA